TAATTTTAGGAAGATGTTTTGTTAAATCTGAAAACATCTCTACTTGAGTTATTTTTCCTGGAAAATCTCCCTTACGTCTGTAAGGGTTGTGTGTGGAGCCCTGTTATCTGTTGCCAGTGGACTGCTAACCCCAAAATGTGAAGCTGGTTAAACTAGATCCTCCATAATCAAAAAGGTGGGGGGTGCTACCCCACCAGCTTTGTCAGAAGATGGACATTTCCTGTGTCCTCCTTAGGAACTGCAATCCTTGTGCAGTTTTTTTTTTTGCCAGAGAACTCCCAGGCTGACCAGCTTAAGATCTCATAGATTCCACCAGCTTGACATTTTCCTCAGTTTTGTTACTGTGGTAAATTCTGTGGAATTACAGAACACTGCTGGTAGCTGAGTTCACCTCCTCCAACTGTAGGCAAAAATTCTGGCACTTAGATTTAATGTAGCCATCTAGATTTTACAATCAATGGAAAGAAACATGTTTTAATATCATGTTAATTTTCTCATTGTAAAGTACACCTCTAATCTATAGTATGATTTATCTGACACATAAGTGTTTGTTTCTTCTCACTAATTATTTAAAAAGCCTAATGTATCTAAGCTGTTGGATGCCTAAAAATAGGAAAAATGGGGCTAGGATGGTACATATTCATGTTTCAGAAAGAAACAGTTGTGCAAATTCCAGTTTGTATGCAATATCGGAAAAATTTGCTCTTTCTCCAAATAGGAATGGAAACAGATTTCTGAATACCCTAATTATGCACAAGTCAGGAATCACACATTTGCATCAAGTGAGAACTGACTCTGGGAAAAATTCATCACTGCCATCTCACCAGAATTCTGGGAGTTTACCTTTTCCTACAGCTTGGAAGGTCATCTACCTAAACACAATCATTTTAAGCCTTTCAGCAGCAATAGCTAGAAACTACAGTAACTTGAGAAAAACTATTTGATAAATAAGGAGAGCACCATAAAACCAGAAACTAGATGTAGCCTTCTGAAAGATAACTGAAAATTGGTTTAACTTGCTCTATATGTACCTCCAGAACAGAAAGAAAAATAATGCATACAAGGTGGTTTTTGTTTTATTACAAGAAGGCGTAACAAGAGTAAAAGACAAGACAACAGGTAAATCCAGATGAGAAATCAGGCCCACATTCTTATAAGCATAGTGATATACCATTGATACAAACTGTCAGACAGCAGAGGCAACTTCTCTCTGTGCCTTCATTTCAGGACTAGAAGACATCTGTTTATTATCTAGTTAAGAGCAAGCTGTGTTTTGACTAAATATAAATGCTTTCTCTGAGCAGAGTGGTGACATGTAATGGCAGATAATGGCGAAATGTTCAGACTACACATGATCTAGGAGAGATGTACTCTGCAAAGTAATGCTCTACAGAGAAATTTGGTCCAGCAGAAATCCCTTCTGGCCTTCAGGACTATAGATCTATAATGTACTGATTGCATTATGCTCTTCTATATTGTTTGCTATGTTATTATCTTACTTGATTAACCCACTCTTGCCTGGAAATGAAGTCATGGTTCCATGTCACAACTTTTCTGGGAAAAAGCCATTTTAACAGAACTCTATCTTAACCCTCTCTACCTGTCAGATCCCGTTCAGGTTATCACACTTCTCTGTTGTTCTGATGACTTTCTTTTCCAGTGGGTCTGCACTGTAAAGCAGCTTAGCAAAAAGACTTTTACTCGAAATACACACCCTTCTCTCTCAGTGTAAAGATAACTGATTCAGGTCTTTGAGCTAAGCAATAAGAGAGGATTATTTTACAGTGTGTTAAATCTGAAGCCTGAAATACTGCCTTTGTGAATATCGGAAGCTTCAATCATCAACATAAACCATGATGTATTTCTTGATTACTCATGAATGACTACTAGGTCTTCCATTTACTTTTCATCTTTATATTACAATGAATGAAATTACTATTGCTGTCATTTTTTTAGTACCAAGATAAGAATTTATTACTCAGATTAGGGTGACAGCAATGGGATTTTTCTTTAATTATTTAAATGTTATTCCTCATGAGTAACAACAAGAACAAGCTATAGAAAATCAATGTGCTAACTGATTACAGTACGATACTTCAAATGGTGAATAACTTTGTTTAGAAGAGGATAATTCCCTAAAAAGTACATTGCAAGGTTAGATGCTGCCTTTGAGAATGAGATAGTTCACAAAATACAGTGATAAGAGATTCAGTATTACCTATATAATTTATCAAGATGGCTTTGAGAATGAAAGTCTTCATTCTGAGCATCACTAAGTGCAGTGCATGACTTCCTTATCACATCATTAGATCACAAATTCTGCTATCCAAGCATCACATCCAGGTGGGTCTTGTATCTGCCCTTACTCAATATAACCCACTGTGAGATCAATGAGATTACTACTGTTGACCTTAACAGGAGACTCACTAGAGTGAAAAAAACAGAGACGGAAAAAAGTTTTTATAAATTAAGTACAACTTCCCAGCTGAACTATGATACTACACAAGTATCACAGTTGAAGGGGTTTCTTCTGCTATACTGTGCTAGTCTGTACGTAATAATGACTTTGCAGTGTTTATTGTTTATTCCAGTTTAAAATTTCATTTTTAGCTAACAAACCTATTGAAGAAGTTTATGTGATAATTTCTTATTGGATTCTAGTGTTCTGTTAGTGCAGTCTTAGGAGATCTTAAAAAAAAATGAAAAAAACCTTATTTTCCTGCTCACATAGCTCTAGGAGTATTGCATTACCTGCGTGCTTTATCAGCAAGACACTGAAAGGATACTGAATTAAACAGTCAAAGAATGAATCTTCACAGATCAGTTTGGTCTTAAGAAAATTAGAAACAGTTTCGGGTTTAAAACTAACGAAGGCAAATTGCAGCTGGAACTTGCCACTAGTGTTTCACATACTTCTGGATAGACTTGTAATTCTGATTCAATCCATTATTAAAATAGAAGTTTGTTTCACAGAGAACTGATAACACATACTGTCCCCATTATACAGGAGGAAAAGCTGAATTAGAGTTTTAAATTAGTTATTAAAAGAAGGAGATGAAATATTATTAAGATAGCTTCCTATTTTTTTTGCATATGCAAAGCCAGACAAATGTCAGCTTCACTTCCCCGTTAAAGAAAATAAGTAGAAATGTATGCATTGCAATTCATACAAAATGCCATTTTTTTATTTCATGAGAAACAAGCCTTTTCCTAGAGTGCTAATTGCCACATATTTTCTTAAGGAGGAAAAGGATAATTCCTATAAGAAAACTTAGTATTAAAAAAGGTTAACATATCTTAGCCTTGTTCTTCACTCCAGTTTCATTTATTTCCTTTTTAAAATATTGTTTAAGGGATTTCACACTTTAGTAAAGACCTTTTAGTCTCCTTCAATGAAACAAACTCATCCAGATGTTGCATCAAATCATTATAGGAAAGTAAACTCAGACAAATCAAGTTCCTGTCTTATGGAGATGAAAGTTAGGCATCATACTGGGCTGTTTATACAGACGTCTAGCATGTCAGAAATGTAAAAAAAATCCCTCTCTTCACACATCTAGACTTGTTCTTTCTTTCAGCATCATGCCTGGAAAAAATGTGGTTACTACCTTGCAGTAGCCCAGAAAAGATCTTCTGAAAACAACAGAACATCTAAAACATCTGAGCTACAATAAAAATCTTGTTGATGTGTTTAACATAAAGAAGAGGAGACCCAAGAGGAACTTGGTAACAGTTTTCCAGTATGTACGACACTGCTGTAAAGAGGAAAAAATAAAAAGTACTCTTTAGTCATGGTGTATAAGACAAGAGGTACTGGGACTGAACTACAGAATGAATGATTCAGGTCAATTACAAGGAGAAAAAGATCAGTTTCAAACTTGTGGTTTCAGAAGTCAATAAAAATAGGCATATGGATCACAGTCACAAAAGGTATAGGCTTAGTGGATACAGCCTTAGGAAAGGGAAATTAAAATCTCAGTTCACTGAAAAAAAAAAATGCTTTCACATTAATTACAAAAGGTCTTTAGACCAAGTGGTTTTTTTCTAATTGCAGTTAAGCAGAGAAAAGAAGGTGCTTATTTGTTTTCAATTTGCAAGTCCCAAACCATAAACACTATCCTGATACAAGATAGCCCTTAAACACATGCTGAAATTCCTCCCTGTTCAGATGGCCATTCAAGCAGGACTCAAGCATATTGTTACTATTCTTAATCAAAGATCTGAATCTGTTCTGCTTCCTCAAATATGTTCATTAATGCTCAACACAAACTTTTCCAATTAACCACAAGTCATTACACATTGTTACGTCTTTTTAAAAAACACATACATCACCCAGGCCTTCTTATATATGTAGTTCTTGCCACCTGCTGGCAGGTGTTTTATGTTGTCAATTTAGAATTCACAAATTACTTGAAGTTAATGAAAATTAATTAAGGAAAATGTTAAATCTGTATTAGTAACAAGCCTATCTTATATGCAAATATTGGCTATTAATGTTGTGTATTAAAAACTTAGAGAAATGTTATTCAATCAATGTTAAGATTAAAGCACTTCTTAAATACAAACTGAATACAGTGCTTATCCTGTATTGCCTAAGGAATCATTACAGTATAGCATCAAATCACTAGAAGAAATTCTACAGATGGTAAACTGATTACTTCACTTACACTTTACTTACAGAGGAAATGTAGTCATTCAATTCCATACAAGCAATACTGTCCAAAATAGATAGCTTTGCTGGGTTGCCTTTTCATATAATATTTTGGATAATAATTACTTCAGCTAATATGGAAACAGAAAACTGTACAAAATTATGACTCAAAATAACAAAGAATATCTGGACCTTGAGCTTTGCTAACCTTCATGTTTAAGTGCATGGATTTTAAGAATGGTTGCATATATGAATAGGCTCTCTTTTCAGTAGCATTCAAAAAACACGTTATTAAAAAAAACACATGCTAACATTTCACATTATTAGCATCTAAGAGTAATTCACATACCTGGTTTTAATGTTTTGATTGCCACGGGGGTGGTATTATTCCACAGTCCTTCCCATACCTCACCAAACTGACCAGATCCTAATTTTTTCAACAATTTCAGAGATTGACGGTCTATCTCCCACTGATCAACAGTTTTGTATGACAAATCAAAAGTAGTAGGAATTTGTACCTGGTAAAAGAGAATAAATAATACAGTAATTGAGACTTCTAATATATTTTCAACAGTGTATACAAGTCATTCTTTACTATGTCATGTAAAGTCACAACTGATATAAATAATGTTTCCTTAGAGTATATACACATGACAAAGTGAGCTGAGAACAGAAAATACACTCCATATCCTGGGTACTTTTTGTTAGAAAGAAGAAATAATATTAAGAAAATATTCTGCCATTAACAGTAAAAATTAGAAATCACCCCTCTAGCAAGCTTTCTGAACAGTGACGTATTGCTTGCCTGAACCTTGTGGTTTTGCCTCAGTAATTACTTATGGACAGCTAGAGTTATGAAGTTGGAGCTTTCATATCCATATACATTTATAAAAAGGTATTCATTAATCATGATTTGGCATACTTTTTCCTCCAGCCACATGATGATTTGTTCCAAACAGCATGGTGTTTTATTATTAACATGCCAGCTTCAAGAATGAAACTGTAGCACTACCCAGAACTTCCTGAAAATAGATCATCAACGTTTAGAGGCATAAATATATAGGCAGATCTGAAGTTAAAACTTTCTGACTGATACCTGATGAGTTAACCTACAAAAGCCATGTTGCACAGTGTAGCATTCACTCTTACCTTTAAGCATGGCTTTCTGAGCACCACGCAGAGGCCATCACTGTTCTTACTGTAATAGTCAACAAACTCATTCAGAGTTTTGAAAGTTTTCCTTCTGGTTATGAAAAAGCCTCCTTCATCCAGCTTCCTGATCCTGTAGTGCTTCACAGATACACCATCAAAAACTAAGAAGATGTAAATACAGTAAGTTTCCAGGATTTACAGCAGTGGTACAGTATAGCTTAAGGCCAAACCATCACAAAATTCCTAAATGAGGACCTTAAAATAAATTATTTTAGTTTCAAAGATGACTGCCATAAAAAATATCTTTCAAACCAAAGCTCACTTTTTAGATAGCTTAACATATCACGTCTATCAGTCTTCAACTATTCAGGTTTGGAGATTCTTTCTTGTACTATAAGAACTGACACAAAAATATATTCATACATCTTCTGTGAGGCAGCTCATATTTTCCATCTGTAAGGACACCAAAAACCAACCAGGATTAAATTATTACTTCACAGTAATAATTTAATAAAAAATTATTACTTGACAGTAATAATTTAATCAGTTTTTAATATTTAATTTATCAATCCTAACATTCCAAGTAACAGCTGCTTGGCTGGCAGGCATTTTAGAGCAAACAGTTATACCCTCCACACAACCAGAATTCTCTGAAAATCACTCACAGCTTCCATGGGGTTTTTTGAGTTCTCTGCACTTCTAGAATATGTAAAAGATCAGGCCAATAATGCTCTTGTCTGAGTAGCTGATGACTCCCTTTCCATTGAAATGTCTTTTATTCCAATCTAGGGTCTCCTAATCAACAAGATTTTTATCTCCTCACGTCTTGCAGGCTATTTACCTGCACTTCATGACACCCAGAGTGTCCTTCCTTCCCAGTGACCATCAGGGCATTCCTTAAAGATGTCAGAAAGTAGGCTGGGCCACTGCATGCTGGGGATAGACCTGGACCAGCAGCACACCAGAGCTGGACAAAAAAATGCACTTTCACTCACCCAGTGCATTATCTAAGGAACACCAGGCTTGAAATCGCTATTTCTGACATCTCCATCATATATAGCTTAGAGAAGTGATCTTCAAAGGAGAGTTTGTGCAACCCAGGGAGTGCAAAAGACAACCCACTGGGGCGTTGGGGAAAAAGTATTTATTGTACCATGAATAAAGAAAATAACAAATTTTTAAAATCTTGTTTCTTCAGTATTTTTTTTTATTTTTTTATACTGCACCTTGCGATTTTCATCACAGGCCACCAGAGGGCATAAAGGAGCTGTTGAAAAGATTTAAAGCGTTTCTATTTGCCACAGGTAACACTTTTAGACACCTCAGAACTTGTTCTGTTTGAGGGTCAGAAATTAGAACATTAGTAACTATAAAAAAAAAAAAGTATAAAAATAATTATATCACACTTTTCAAACGTCATTTATTTTTCACTAAACACCCATAATGAGTATTTTTTATTTATAACATTATTTTTTCATTATATATCTTTTGGAAATGGGATGAAACAACATTAAGGGAAGAGTAATCCACTACCAACAGACTGAAAAATTAATAACTTTTCTAAAGTTCACAAGAAAGTACATCTGGCCAAATTAGTTGCTATTTATGATGCACTGAATAGAAGGCAGCAGGGTAACTGTGTGAATCCAGCCTCAGTTGTATATCACAAATTATAGTAGTTTGACTACCTGCTTTATTTATTGGCAGTATTATAATTATTACTTGCGATGCAGCTAAAATTAACACAAGAGTTGATTTGAAGGATTTGCTCTAATTTCTTAAATGAGCCTCATATGAAGTTTTATGATTGGAAGCATCTGGATCAGGCAGTGATGTGTGTGGAGAAGCTGGAGAAAAACCCTGTGCTGATACCACCTCTTCCTGTGATAAGCAGCTGTGATTAGTGCAGTATTTGACAGGGGGCTGTTTACTTGTATCCCAGGGCTGTGTCTGGCTGTTCAAGTCCTGCCCCACACACTGGCAGCACTGCAGTGTGGTGCAGCTCCTCTGCCCAACCTGACACAGACCATGTGTCTCTCAGGGGAGAGCTAGCCATAATCCCATCAGTGCCTCCAGTCATCCCTACATCCTCACCAGGTGGCTAAAAAGGACAAGATTGCAGCTTCAGCTTCACACAGCTTGACAGCACCCGGGTTTGAAGACTGCAATGGTTTTCTCCTCAACTTGCCCTTCCCAAGAGAATTACAGCTCCCCATTAGATTTCTTCACGGTTTCAGTTCAACAGAAGCATTCTCCTCTTCCTGATTCCCATCTTCAAAATACTGGGCCACACAGAAGAAGTAGATTTTGCTATTCCAAGGATGAGAATAAAATAATTTACTACTCCTTCCTCAGGGCAGCAAAATTTATGGTGGCACCAACAGAGTAAATGTCTTCATCAAGAGAATCATAGAGGAAGTAAGGCACCATTACCACCAGTGCCCCAGCACCTCCCCTGTCAGCAGTCCTCCCCCAACACTGGTACAGAGCTGCTGGCAGGAGCTGTGCTCAGACTCCAAACCCAGGGTAGATGTGGGAGGAGGGTGGCTTATGTGATCATCCTCACCAACTCAGAACGGGTGCAGGGGATGATCAGAAACTATTCTACTGCTATGGCTATGATTTTGCTACTCCTATCAGTCTGCTGCCCCAGACAATTACATACTTTTCTTATGCTGAAAACCACACAACCGTGTTTAGGAGCATGATAAAAAAAAATGGAAGGGTACATAAACCATTCGCATTTAATGCAATCAGTCTTTTAGATACCATTATTCAGTGAGGGGGGAAGCAGAGAGCCTCCTGCTATCATTGGCAGTGACACTCAATTAAGCTGAGCACATCTAAATTATGGCTTTTAATTAAAAAGAGGCTAGGTCTAAGATGGCAGCAACATGTTTAAAATCTAATACATTTTACACCAGATGCTGGAGTCATCAACATAAAAATCTGTCGACAACATGTGCATTTTTTAAAATGGAAAAACCTATTTTTAAAATGTCAAACACTTCAAAATTATAGCAACACATCTCAGTGGCCTAGAGGGTTTCATGAGCTTTCCATTTAACCATTCTTAGCTGAGAAAAAACCTTTCTGAACATGACTTTTTTTTTTTTTTTAAATTTAAATAGTCTAAAATGTTAAAAATTGTAAGTTTTCCCATCAAGACAAGTTATAAGTGAAAAGTGTGATATTAATGAAAGGCAGAGTTTATTTCTTTTTCTTTTTTTTCCCTAAGGAGATAGATTTGACTCCCTCATTAACACTGAGTCTAGTATACATTGTCCATATGAGTATGAAATCAAGCATCAAAGTCATAAAATCAGTATATGGATGCTTGAGTAAAAATCTTCCTTTTCTACTTCTTTTCCTTTTTAGCTTTATTACAGCTACATGTTAGTCTGGACAGTGGATGACAGTATTTTCTTTGATACATTAATTCTGAAAGCCCGATTGTCACTCTTCTAGCCATCATCATCTACTTCGGAATGAAAACAAAACAGCAACAGAAGGTAGAGCAAACCCAACCAGTCCTACAGAGGATGGGAGCTTGGGGTCCTGTCCTTTCTGCACTGAAAAAATTGGAAACAGAAATTAGAGATGTATTCCAAAATACCAGACTGCGACTTCTCCCCTATCAGTGTATCAGCTTCTTTGGTGATAGAAGCCATCCAAGACCTTTTAAAAGAAATAGTTCTGAATTGCTGTTCCTCAAGAAAACACCACTGTTCTGACTCAGCTTTGAGTGCCTCATAATTCCTGATGGAATAATAAGGAGTTAGTCAGAAAAATTACCTTCTCCATACTATCTGGTGGACTGAACAGCCTTTCTTCCAATTAATACTCCCCTCAGTTGAATCCACTTCATCATTTGCTTTAGAATGCACTAGCTCTCCCAAAACTAGACATAAATAATGAGATTATGGACATACAATGTCTAGACCATTATGTATACTATTAGGCTGAAAGCAAAAAAGCTTGCACAACACAAACAGACTCCTTTCAGTCAAGCTGATTTAATAAGCATCAAATAATATTTAGGTCTTCAGAATGAAGTAGCGTGTTGAGGCTAAATTATGTTCAAGTTGGGGGAGGTGCTGAACGACCTAGCAGCACTGGTAAATTACATCATTAATAGTCACTGTCTACAGACTCATTGAGAGTGCATTCTCTTTCTTCACCTAAAAGAGCACAAATGTTTAATAAATCTGAGATGACACATATATACACACATACACGCTCAGAAGACAACCCATGTTTGTGCATGAAGGAGGGGACTGGCTCCTGTAGCTGGAGCCTTGCTTCTGTGTATGTTATGTTTTTCAGTGCCACTCTTCCCTTTCTTCATCAAGCAAACCAGCATGGAAGAAATCCACACTGATGGTTTAAGATCTTGCTATTATCAGCCCATCATTAAGTCTTCTGGTCCAAAATAAGCTTACACAGAAACCTGAAAAATTTCTACCACAAGCTTTTGTAAGTGGATTAATATTCTAAACCAGATCTATTATAGTCGATTTGCTGACATAGTTGTTTGTTGACATAATTGTTGATTATAGTTGACAAATCCATGATTTGTCAGTAAAAAAAATTTAACAGCAGCATCGAAGGATGATCTCATCCTACCACAAATGCTGGCCTAATATTTATTTTCATTCTCTTAAATCTTCCTCTGCAATACTTCATAGTTTAAATAAGGTACTGCTGTCTTCCTGAAAGAGAATTAGTCAGGATACTGGGTGAAAAATTAAGATTTTTAATCTTTCCTAAAAGGCTACAATTGCAGAATAATAAAAATAAAATTGCATTTCCACCCTTAGGTGTACAAAACACAAAATTTTTCATTGAGTTTTAGTAAGGTGTCATGTTTTCAAGTGCAAACATTAAGCAGATAATACAGACTTATCTATCCATCCCTGTGTAACACCATACTGTTATCAGCCTAGCCCAGCCCTTGGATGAAATCAGTTACTGGATGAACACTTGAATGAAGCTGAAACTGTATAAAATGGGAATAAGCTGGCATACAGAGGGAAAGCATTTTGAAAGGTTTGTGGCTGTAACAGTCTTTGGATAAAAGGGTGCATGCACAGAGCTCAGTTCTTTCACAGCTGGGGAGCAATTCCTAGCTGATGTTAGCCTTCCTATCAGTGTATCTTGGCAAAACAAGTTTCCTTTAGGGAAAATTGAAGACTATGGAATTAACTGTCCCAGAACTATTCATATCATACTTATTTCGTAAAACTGCCCTGTATTTCACTCAATGGGTAACATACATTTTTTGTCTTGGCAATAAATAGCAACCCTCCCATTACCAGAAGGCATTGCAGGTGTGTAAACTTTCCATATGATATGGAAAGACAAACCAAGAATGTGTCAAAAGTTCATTAAGCTGCTTAACATGTTTCTGGTAATGCTCAGATGGTGCTTGACAAATAAACATTCAACACAAGAAGAGTCAGCATGAAAGAATCTGGTTATGCACAAGATGCCTCTCATTTTACTCATGTAATTCTGCACTGACAACTTACAGTTTATTCAAAAACATCAAGAGTCATCATTGGCCTATAGAATTATACAGGTAGAGCACATCAGGAAGTTTAGGTGAATAGCCCTGTTGTCTCTTGAGCCACACATTTATGACAAGTTTTGCAGAAAATGCTCATAATCAGGTTTATTATCTAATAGGGCAAATATCTATGACATGAAAAAGATTACATGTACATAAATTATCCAATAAGTGTCCTTATTTAACAGTTTTCCAGATTCAAATAAGGGACTTTAAATAAATTTCAAAACCCATCATCATAATAAATCTAACTTTTAACTTTTATTTACAGCTCATTTTTCCAACTAAATATGTCTGACTCTAAAGTACAGCTTTGAAAATCTTCCTATCATTTTACCTCTGAAAATGAATAAAGGTGTGTTCTAGGAGACATTTCTGCAGATATCTGCCAACATGGTTTAGTGGGGTTTTTTTGTACTAAGCAGAACAAAAGTGTATAACTGTAAGGTATTTTTTGGCATTTTAATCATGAGCATAGTTTCTATTTTAAAGCAGTTGGCATGGTGGAAGTATTAAGTGTAAAAAAAGTGTATTTCTGTTCTGAGCATATTAATAAAGAAAGCCTATAAAATAAATGTTAGTAAAAACACAAATTACTCTTACCAAATTTTCTTTACATGTGCCCTGGGAAATATTATTATGAACTTAATTTCATTCTCATGCCCATGGTTTATCATTCTCAGAAATTAAAAACTCCAGATCACCTGAGAAATTTTTGAAACATTGCTTAGGATGAAAAACTAGAATATACCTGAAAGTGAATATTCGCCTTTTAGACTTTCGCTTTCTCGGATTAGGAAGGCTCCTGCCTGGTTTCCAGGGTAGGACAGTTGTCTCTCAGCATCTGCTCGTTTGATTGGGCCAAAAAACCATCTGAACAAATAAAAAACATTCATTTTATCAGTCAGTGAAACATACCAGCAAGACAATTTAGCTTTTATAAACATGCTGTGTATTTACTAAAAGATAATCTGTGCTATGCTAATTAAATTCCAATAGCATGGGGAAAAAAAGCCAACAAGATCTACACAAGTTTATTGCTAGAAAATATTGCTTACACATTTGAGTGAAACCTGGATTTTACAGCTGATGAAAATTCCTACTGATTTCAATTGAATGAAAATTCAGAAGTGACAGACCGGTCTGGTCCCAGGAAAAATTCCCCAAGAAATTCTACCAGGGTTACTGTGGCAAAAATTTATGCCCAATCCACTGATGGCACTTGAAGTATCTAGAGGTGCAGGTACATGCTAACACCTCAATATCTTAAAAGTCAAAACATATCTGGAATTGCAGAAAGGCTCTCAGATTCCAAGATGTACACCATCCTGCAGACTTCCCCATTCCACTGCCACAACAAAAAGGTACTGGCAATTTTTTGGTTCTGCTGCTGTTAGACAAAAAAAAAAAACCATTATGTCCCTCAAGTCACCGCAAGTACCTCAACATTCATGTTCTATAAAAAACTACTCCTATCTATGTCTTTTAAAACACATTTTTCCTCTCTTCCTAAACCTTGTAGTTTACAAGGACTTGTTCAAGCAATATTTTTAGTTTGCTTCTCTGAAGGTGCTATTTAGCTCGTTTGCTGCTTTGTGCTGGGTGTAAATTAAACAGAAACACAACTGAGATGACTCAGCATTTTCAGCCGGGGTGGCATTCAGCAGCCACCCAACACCCATGCAAAGCTCTTTCCAAGATTAGCTCCGCCCCTTATTTGAAGCAAATGGTGATGAATAGTTATCAGAAACATGCCATCTACCCATAGGAGTACTCATTTTTAATTAATCATAGCTAAACCTATTATGCAAACTTTTAAGATAAATCAATTTATCACACCACACATAAATTGCCTGTTCATTAAACTACTTGATTTGTGAATTACTCGTGAAAAGTACAGAAGGAGTCATCAATCCTGCAGATTCCCCATTCCACTGCCACAACAAAAAGGTACTGGCAATTTTTTGGTTCTGCTGCTGTTAGACAAAAAAAAAAAACCATTATGTCCCTCAAGTCACCGCAAGTACCTCAACATTCATGTTCTATAAAAAACTACTCCTATCTATGTCTTTTAAAACACATTTTTCCTCTCTTCCTAAACCTTGTAGTTTACAAGGACTTGTTCAAGCAATATTTTTAGTTTGCTTCTCTGAAGGTGCTATTTAGCTCGTTTGCTGCTTTGTGCTGGGTGTAAATTAAACAGAAACACAACTGAGACCGCAAGTACCTCAACATTCATGTTCTATAAAAAACTACTCCTATCTATGTCTTTTAAAACACATTTTTCCTCTCTTCCTAAACCTTGTAGTTTACAAGGACTTGTTCAAGCAATATTTTTAGTTTGCTTCTCTGAAGGTGCTATTTAGCTCGTTTGCTGCTTTGTGCTGGGTGTAAATTAAACAGAAACACAACTGAGATGACTCAGCATTTTCAGCCGGGGTGGCATTCAGCAGCCACCCAACACCCATGCAAAGCTCTTTCCAAGATTAGCTCCGCCCCTTATTTGAAGCAAATGGTGATGAATAGTTAACAGAAACATGCCATCTACCCATAGGAGTACTCATTTTTAATTAATCATAGCTAAACCTATTATGCAAACTTTTAAGATAAATCAATTTATCACACCACACATAAATTGCCTGTTCATTAAACTACTTGATTTGTGAATTACTCGTGAAAAGTACAGAAGGAGTCATCAACAAACGACTTTAGTATCTGCAATGCTTACAATCATCATAGGAAATGAAGGAAATAAATGAGACCATTGGGTGACACTTTGGCTGAGCAAGCACGAGGAATGAAAAATGGCTTTGTATGAAAAAAGAGGAAATAAAAGGAGGAAAATACAGATGGTGCTAACCCACAATGAAAATGCTTTGTTAACAAAGGAAAATTAAATACAGACTTTACAGACTACGTTTCTGTCCTCTGACTTAAGAGATTATTTGGATAAAGTAGGTCTTGATACATAATTGGCAAGGAAAGCAATCTCATTAGAAAGCTGGAATATGTTAGTAATAATTTTAATTAGTTAAATGTGTTAATTAATTCAACTAATTTATTAAATTAATTACTTAATTAGACTCTAGAAAGCAACGTAATTAATACATGTTAAAATTCTTGACAGAGGTTCTTGTCAAACAAATGAGGAGAGAGGCAAGTTCTACTCTCTTCAAGTCCCAAATAAAATCTGTCTGCCCTAAAAACTCAATTAGAATCCTTCTGAAAAATCTAAATACACTTGCTCTTTGAATAACAGCTGAAAAATTACCAACTACATGATCTGAAAATAATTTTTACTGACGTTTTTCTCCTTGAAGTATAAGACATCAGTTGTGTCCAAAGTGACTGCTTCTCCTAAGAGTATATGAGAAGAGGTGTTTCATTTTGCGTCACCTTTCTTCACGGGTTAAGAGGACAGCACCCTTTCTAGAGGATTTAATTTTGTACCAAAGCCAAAAGAGCTTCCAATGACTGTTAGCAAGGTTGAATGTTACATTCAGGATAGCCAAAAGTATAATCATTACATGACTCGGTATTTGTATGTATGTTGCTAGTAACTCAAATTGCTAAAGTTCAAAACATGAGCAGTAATACAATGTATGCAGCAAGAGGAAATGTTGGTTTGTTTTTTGAAACCATGTCTACAATATAGACTGCAATTTTGGAAAAAGAAACAACCTGTAAGTGCATATTTTATCTAGGCATTTGACTTCAAAATGTTACAAATTATATGTTTATTTTTTTATTAGGTTGGAAAAACTTCATTTAATTCAATGTGAATTTACCGTCATAGATTATATGGAGGATATGTCATGTGTAGGCTCTGACTCCAGCCAAACTTAGCAGCCAAAAAGATCCTGACTTGCAAATTAGGATAATTAGAACAACAGTATTTGAGAAGGTAAGTGTAACTGAAGCAATAATTATGGAGAGTTTAAAGTGGACACATACTACGTATTACCTCATTTATCTGACTTTATATGATCTGATTAAAATGTTTCAGAAAAACACAATGAAAATTACTTTCAATAGCACTTGAATATGGGCTTCTTAATTCATAGTTATTGGGTTTGCAATAATAATCCTACAGTACCAAAACCAGTATGCTTGTGAAAAAATTATACCCTTAACCTCAAAGCAAATAATTCATTATTTGCTTCTTTTTTTTTTAACAAAAGCACATCTGAATCTAAAGCACTATTTTCATTAGAGATAGGAGTTTAAATTCCCTTTATAAAGCGTGAAGGGCTTATTTCAATTTCTAGCAATTGAACTTATGCTTCAAAAGGCTTAATATTTTACTTCATCTAAAAGTGTGTGTTGAAAGTGTGAATCAAAGTAATTGCTCACCATGATATATTGTTCTGCAGGATAGGAAGGTCAGACCAAAACAGCACCCAATCTGTAGTAAGTCTATTTGTGTTTTATAGCTCAAAGACAGATGAAGGTTTTGAAACGGAACGCTTGGAAAAAGAGAACTAAAACATCAAGCATTATCCATTGGACAAGTTACTCAACCAGCACTTTCTCTGACTTCAGTGCGCTGTATTGGCACAAGACGGTTCAAGAGAAGGTTGAATTACCAATTCATACACAATTTCACTCTGAACTTCAGGTTGCAGCCAAGACACTTTGGGTCACAATTGTCAATGCAGGATCAGTAGATTACCAGGTATGGCACAAACTAGTGCATTCGGACTTGGGTGTAAGTTTCCATTTCTAGCAGGAGCTCTCTGGTTGGCACAGCAATAGAGCTCTTCCATCAGTGAGACCCAAGAATGTTCCTTCTTGGCCAGCACTGCATCTGGTGTAGGATTCTGGCAGCCTCCTCAAAGTCCCTTGTTTCTACCATCATTGTTAGATCTCAGGAATCCCTTAATTGAAAATTCCAGGCTATTTTCACATCACTTCTGATCTCCATATATAGAAGGACTTTGGGAACAGAAAATCTGACCTTCATGTAGGTCCATAACAAAGAGATTCCTTACTTGGTATGGATGATGCTCACTATGAGAATACCAGTAAGGGTTGTGGTTTTTCAGAGTTTAGTAATCTCATCCCTATCGGCCATCAATTCCACTGGCAGGTTTTTGATCACAGGATCATTATCACAGATCATAGCAGGCTTTGTCATGGCATGCTTCCTGACCATGACAGTATCTCTGCTGAGACCCACACTCCTACCCTAAGATCTTCCAGCAAATGAAAAGATGTATCTTCAAATTGACTGCCGGTGGTTATACTTGAAGAGCAGAGACCATGTCACCTATGCTAACTCCTGTCTCCCCACTCAGTCCAGCTTGAACTAATATAGAGTCATGAGTTCAACGGAAGTTGATGGTGTTACTTGCCTCCACCACCTTTGCTCAGAAATCCTATGTCATCCAGGAGGCAATGCACTGCCAGTCTCTGTCTATATGTCAAAGCCCCATTTACCTGGTTCTGCTTTGCTCCTGTGCTTTGCTACATAAAACCCAGCTAAAATTAAAATAAATAAATAAATAAATAAATAAATAAATAAATAAATAAATAAATAAATAAATTTAGTAAGATATGGCAGGAACTTTTAAGCTGGAAAGTAGAAGAAAGGAAGAGCAACATGGACAAAGGCTTATCGCATTCTGGATAGCTGCTGACAGAATCGCTACAGCAAAGAAATAAAAGAAGGCAAAGTCCTCCAATGCTATAACACTAGTAAAGTTTCCAGTGCTTGGAAACGTGCCTAGAAGAATATAAAACCCCAGTGGAAAAAAAACACAAATACCCCCACCCAAAAAAAGCACATGCAAAATGAATTTTCTTCCCGCTGCTGCCTCTCATTAATGCAATATCCCCTTCTGATCGTATTAGTGCAATGCACTCATTCGAGG